CACACACTCTCTCTCTCTCTCTTTCTCTCACACACACACTCTCTCTCTCTCATACGCTCTCATACAATCTCACCCTCACACACTCTCTCTCTCACACACACACTCACACACACTCACACACACTCTCACACACACTCTCACACACACTCTCACACACACTCTCACACACACTCTCACACACACTCTCACACACACTCTCACACACACTCTCACACACACTCTCACACACACTCTCACACACACTCTCACACACACTCTCACACACACTCTCACACACACTCTCACACACACTCTCACACACACTCTCACACACACCTGAGTGAAGCCCAGCTTGATGCGTCTCTGCTTGAAGCTCTTGGCGAACAGCTCGAGCTCCTCGAGGTCGCTGGCCTCCTCCGCACACAGAGTGTCGATGCGCTTCGGAGCGGCCGCTGGAGCCGGCATAGCCGCGATCTTCCGCGTCGGTGTGGCCGCCTGCAACACCATGAACACACACCATCTCCATCAACACTGAGAACTTCAACTGTACAGCCCTATGAAATCAGTTTTAATTCATCCCGAATTGTGTGTTTTTAGGAGAGACTGGAAAAGTGTAGCACCAGACACAAGCCTAACTCCAGCGAGGGACACCGTGTAGATAAGCGGTGTGGAGATCCAAAACTAGCTCAAACAACAAAAAAATAAATGGACAAAATAAATTCATATGAGCAGTTCTTATCTGCAAATCTTATTTTTTTAATTATTATTATTTTATTTTTTTACAAATTCTATTTTTTCTGTTTTAATTTAAAATGTAGCATTCATAAAGCATGTCTAATTAACCGAAATCATATTACTTTTACAATTTAGCAACAATTCATTAAAAGCTTAATAACAAATAAATTTTTAAGGCCCTACTAAACATTTTATTTCTACCAAAATTTGAATTTTTATACTCTACAGGGTTAAATAAAACTTTAGCATAAGCATGTCTAATTAATTGAAAGCATAAAACTTTTAGAATTTATCAACAAGTCATTAAAAGCTTAAGCATTTGAAAAAAAAATAGAAAATTATTTTTTACCAAAATTAGAAATTTTCTGGTAATCAGATGAAGACATAAAACATTAACAATTTAATTAGTCTTCTAATCAAATTAAAATTGAATTAGTGCTGGGCAACGATTAATCGCATCCGTAATAAAAGTTGTGTTTACATAATATATGTGTGTGTGTGTACTGTGTA